TTTTAAAAGAAATTAATACTTTCAAAAGATTTCCATTTCAAATAAATGCTGTTCTTTTGAACTTTCTGTTCATCAAAGAATTCTGGAAAAAATAATAATAATATTTTCCACAAAAGTATTAAGCATAAGAATCATATCAAGTCAGCATATCCGAATGATTTCTGACGGATCATGTGACGCTGAAGACTGGAGTAATGATGTTGAAAATTCAGCTTTGCATCACAGGAATAAATTATATTTTAAAATATATTAAAATAGAAAACAGTTCTTTTCAATTGTAATAATATTTCTGTTTTTACTGCATTTTCGATCAAATAAATACAGCCTTTTAAAAAAAAAAAATCTTACAGACCCCAAACATCTGAATGGTAGTGTGTGTATGTCTGTCTTGTAAACTCATACCTTTATTAGTAGCTCAAGCGTAATTTGTTTAAATAGTTAGAGGAGTCAAAAAACAGCACAGAACTCACACCAGAAGAGGATCTGGCAGAAAAATGTAGAGTGAAAAAACTACAGGAGGATTCAGACTTAGAACTAGCAAAAGAAGCATTCGGTAAGTGCTTTCTGTTTATCCATATCCATATTTTTACCCATAATAAGCCCAAATCATTAACTTTTATTCTTGTTTGTAGGTGTAGTATCAAATAATGTTACAGGAATTGATGCGATGAGTCCCTCTACAAAAGAAGACTTCACAGAGTTTGAGCGGTTGCTAAAAGAAAAAATGTCTTCCTATGAGAAGTCAATACACTATTCCAGCTTTTTAGAGACACTGTTTAGGGACCTGTGTCTTTCGTGTAAGTATATTTCATTTTTGATAGTTCTTCTGTCAGTCATAATGTGATTTATGTATTGCTTAATGACATTTTTCGGTTTTGCAGTGGAAGTTGACGACTTGAAGAAAGTTAACAACTCTCTAACAGTGTTACTAAGTGAAAAGCAGAGGCAAGAAAAGGTATGAAATTCATTTATAGGAATCGTTCACCCAAAAAATGAAAATGCAGAGAATTTATTCACCCTTAGGCCATCCAAGATGTAGATGAGTTTGTTTCTTCATCAGAACAGATTTGGAGAAATGTAGCATTACATCAGTTGCTCACCAGTGGATCCTCTGCAGTGAATGGGTGCCGTCAGAATGAGAGTCCAAACAGCTGATAAAAACATCACAATAATCCACACCACTCCAGTTCATCAATTAATGTCTTGTGAAACGAAAAGCTGTATGTTTGTAAGAAACAAATCCATCATTATGACGTTTTTAACTTTTAACCAAAATCAGAGTTTTCTATCCATAATATTACTTTTTCTTGTGAAAAAGTCGTCTTATCTGAATCAGGAGAGAAATATGAAACAAAACAGTTCTAAACAAATGTGTCGATGGATTTTGAAGTGAGACGACAACAGCGGATGGCCTTTCTCACTGTAGGAAGCGTTATTATGGATTATTGACTCGTATTTTGGCCAGAAGCGACAGTTTGAAGTTAAAAACGTCTTAATGATGCTTTTGTTTCTTACAAACACACAGCTTTTTGCTTTACAAGACTTTAATAAATGAACTGGAGTGGTGTGGATTATTGTGATGTTTTTATCAGATGTTTGGACTCTCATTCTGACGGCACCCATTCACTGCAGAGGATCCACTGGTGAGCAAGTGATGGAAAGCTACATTTCTCCAGATCTGTTCTATCTGGTTGGCCGGAGTACATTTTTTTTTTTTTTGCAAATGTTCATTTTTGGGTAAACTATTCATTCAATAGCAAACAATTACTAACTTTTTTTTCTTTCTCAGTGCTTTATCTTTTTATGTAAAATTCTCCTATTTTGTTTACTCCTATATACCATATGTACAATTTGTATTTTATTGTAATTTTTTATGGTCCTAAATATCATTATATTTTTTTTTGAATAGGCAAACAAAGGTAAAAAGAAAAAGAAGGGAGTTTTACCAGGAGGAGGTTTAAAAGCCACAATGAAGGATGATCTCGCAAACTACGGGGAGTTCGGCGGTGGTTATGCACAAGACTACGAGGATTTCATGTGACCAAGGCTTAACCTATTGATAGTGTTTGCTGATTGCTGAACCACACCTTAACAGCATGACCTTACCCCACAGTCAGGCCCACTACCAGAACCATGCTAGAAAACTCTGAACACCATCCCACGCAATGCACACTCTCCCTTCAAAGAGGTTTATGCAGAGAATCAGTTAACTGCTGTATTTTTCTCTAATCTGTGAATTTAGGTCAATGTTTGTCGGAATAATAAACCCGATAAAATGGGGCTCTTCTCACAAATGTGAATCTGCAGTATCGATTAATCATCACAGTCCAGGCAACAGTGTTATTGTTCGGTGACTGCTATTTCTTGAAAATAAATGACATTCTATGCAAATTTCGGTCCGGATTGATCTGTCGTTGGATCTGCTTCGATCGGTATCCTTTTTGAATGGGATGTTCCTTTTGCAAACCAAGCCGATTAACTCAACCTATACAGCCTACAGTGGTGATATGGTAGTCACCTGGTTTATAAATCATGTCTACAATCAGACGTTTCATTTTTTGTTCGTAGACGAGCTAATTTGTTTAGATAAGTAAATCTATAGTGTAGCGTACCTAATGTAAGCAGAATGCTTTGAAAATAACGCCTTTTATGTTTGTAGCTCGTAATGCATTCCATGAAAAGTCTAAGACCAAAAGTATCACTCTAAATGAACAGTTTTGAAGATACATTGCAGCATTATTAGCATTACCTCAATTTTTGCAGAGCGAAATACGCGAATATTTACGAATATAACATGTTTTCAATGCAGCACATTATGCAGTTACTAATTTGACCTCAACCATGCCAGCAATGAATGAGTGTGATCTGCTAATGTAAAAGGGACTGAACGTTGACATAGGGTCTTTTCAGGTGTCGTTTGGCTTTCCATTTTTTCGACAACTTACAGTGATAGACATGCTTCAAAGAGACTTACGATCAGTGAAGCCGATGATAGGACTCTGCACTGTTTTATAAAGATCTAATTTAATAAAAGTTGCTTAAAATCCATTGTTTGTCTTTTTTGCTTCTTATATTGTCTTTTTATCTTAGCTGAGGAATGGATCACAATTATGTGGTAATTGACAGAATGGAATGCTGTTGATCAGACTTAAAGCGATAGTTCACCCACAACTGTAATCATTTAGTCACCCTCTTTTCTGTTGAGTATTTTGAAAGATGTTGGTAACCAACAGTTGACGGTAGCCATTGACTCCCATATAATTTTTTTTTTCATACTATGGAATTCAATGGCTACCATCAACTTGAGTAAATGATGACAGAATTTTAATTTTTGGGAAAATTCAAAAATGTTTTTTAAAATGTGTTAATCTTATTGTGAATGATTTATCCTTATATAATTATTTTTTTTTACTCCAGACTTCTACAGACTGATTTTTGTGGCCTTAAATGACTGAATTTGCTGCAGCGATATTTGTGGCATTTTTTCCCTATTTCACAGTAAAGTGAAAGTGAAGTGACATGTGGCCAAGTATGGTGACCCATACTCAGAATTAGTGCTCTGCATTTATCCCATCTAAAAGTGAACACACACACCCCTGGAGGAGTGGGCAGCCATTTTTTGCTGCAGCGCCCGGGGAGCAGTTGGGGGTCCAGTGCTTTGCTCAAGGGCACCTCTGTCGTGGTATTGAAGGTGTGAGAGCGCTGTACATTCAGTCCCCCCACCTACAATCCTTGCCGGTATGAGACTCGAACCCGCAACCTTTGGGTTACGAGTCCAACTCTAACCATTAGGCCATGACTTCCCTAAAGATGCAATGCTGCATAAAAGCCAGATTCAATTATGCCTGCTTTGACCTCATTCCCTAGTATATAAGTGTATAGTCACAGATACTGTGTGAATGCCACCTCTGAGCAGCATTAAACAGTTCGTGTAGAGAAAACACTACAGAAGCACTTCTGTGCTCCCTTTGGCATAATTAGTGTTAGTGACAGTAAGAGTTGAACATAATAATTTGTTAATAGCTAATATTAAGTTAATATTGCTTTCCTCAGTTTATCTTTTTTTTTCTTTTAGAAAAATAGCACAAAAAAATGCTATCTGCTGTGAAGTGTGAGTTTGCTTGATTTTACATTCAATTCTGCTATCACAGAATTGCAAAATTTTAGAGGGACTGGCTTAAACCCCGCCCACAATCGACTCCAAGCTCACATTAATTTTTAAGTGCTCAAAATCCAACAACCGAAATATAGAATCAATTCCCCACCTTACTTTTTTCATTATCCATTACCCTCTAATATGCTTCATAATATGGAAGAATTGATCAGTGGCACTGGCTACTTCTGCGACTTTCGTGAAGTCAAAATACTGTAAAAGTGTTTGACCACGTTTTATCTCCTTAATTTGACATTCAAGAATTTTTTTCCTACATTACAATATTAGGACAGTTGTACCACTCTGACATGTTTGACTTTATAAAAATGTCAAAATGAATTTTCATGAAGAAATTAAACGCGTCAGAAGGTATGTGTGTATAATGGTATGTGTGGTATGGTAATGGTATTTTTGAATACATTTTGAATAAATTTATACATCAGGACAAAAAAAGTAATTGACTCTTTTATTCTTTGCATGAACTTATCACTGATAAATCATTCACAAGACTAGGAATTTGTATTAAGAAAGTAAATAGGGTCATCTTTATTGTACTTTGCATTAATTTAACCAGAAAAAAAAAAAATGAAAAAAACTCCACATTAAAAATTGCATTTATGCAAAATTTTATCATCTAATAATTTTATCTACAGTAGACGTTTATTAAGTATAAAGCGATCAAGGGTATGACCTTTGAGACTGTTTGAAGAACCGTTCTGTTCTGAAAACTGTACGCCAGACTGAAAGCGGCGTTTTATTGCGTACCAGCTTATGAAAAAGTTGCACACAGGTCTTCTCAGATAACCTGCCAATGTCCTAATCTTGTCCTTGTTGCTCGTGGCCGATTATCTCGATCACACTGAATTGCACCCACTGCTATTGGTCACGTGACCTGTGCACAAAGGGTCCAGTCTTCTTCGCTTGGTCCAACTTACTGGTTTTCAGACAAAAAGAAAACAACAGAGCGATTGTAAAGATAAGACTTGGGGATAATTAACAGCAAATACAGACTCAACAAGCGTAACACTTCATCATCCATTGGTTGTGAAGAAGGGAGGAGGTTTGTTGCTGTGAAGTTGAATGATTTCTTTTGAGTGTGTGTGGTTGTAAAATGTGGTCTCGGTTGTGAGGACCATTATATAAAAGGTGACCCGTCTCAGTAATGTGAAATCCAACCATGAGTCCACGCGTCTTCTCAATCTTGGTGTTTTTGTGGCTGGTAATGGCTGTGGAGATGTCCACCTTGGAGGGCAAGCAGATCCTCCAAGCCTTGCACTGTCCGCCCTGCGAACGCATCCATTGTTCCCCTCGTCGAGCACTGAAGCTCCAGTGTCAGGGTGGAATCACCACTGGGATCTGCGGTTGTTGTCCAGCCTGTGCCAAACTTGCGGGAGAAAGCTGTGGAGGCACCTGGGACTACCTGGGGAAATGCGATGAAGGGCTGGTTTGCATTTACCCAGAAGAAACTGATGGAAAACCAGAGGCAGAAAGCAAGGGAACCTGCAAATCAGGTACCACTAACGCTGGAGATGTCAAGTTAATCTGTCTAGATCAGGGGTGCCCAAACTCGGTCCTGGAGGGCCTGCAGAGTTTAGCTCCAACTTGCCTCAACACACCTGGTGGGAAGTTTTTAGTATGCCTAGTAAGAGCTTGATTAGCTGGTTCAGGTGTGTCTAATTGGGGTTGGAGCTAAACTCTGCAGGACACCGGCCCTCCAGGACCGAGTTTGGGCACCCCTGGTCTAGATGTTACGTAGAATCCTGCAAGTCTACGCTCTTAAAAATAATGGTTCTTTATTGGCTTCTGTGGTTCCATGAAGAACCTTGGAATCTTTCTATTGCACAAAAGGTTATTTATAGTGGAAAAGGGTTCTTTAGAAAATGTTAAAATGTTCTTCACACTAAGAAAAAAGTTTTTTCACTGAACTTTGAGGAACCAAAAATGGTTCTTCTATGGAATCACAGTGAAATCTTTATTTTTAAGAGTGTAAAGTGCAAAGTTGGTTTTTAAGAGTGTAAAGTTGGTTTTTGAATTCAGGGTTCACATGATCTTGAAAAAACAGGTTTGAAAAGTCATGGAAATGAATAATATTTTCAAGAAAAATCATGAAGATTTCTCTAGTAAATTTCTGAATTCAATATTTAATTTAATAAAAAAATTGCTTTTTTATTGTTTTTTTTATTGTATTAGACACCCCCCGTCCCTTTTTTGCGCTTTGTTAAAATGCTTAAAGTCATGAATGAGTGAACCCGTCTTAGAAATGTTAATAATAAAAGTGGGAACCCTGTGAATTATACAGCAAAAATAATACTGTTTATTTTAGAATAGTTTTAAATTATTTATTTTAATATATAATACAACAGGGGTTTTCAAACTGGAGTCCAGGGACCCACCGGAGAGCCACAAAGCGGTTGCTTGAGCGTCTGCTGAAAATTTCAGCAAAATAAATAAATAAATGTTTACTCATTTTCACTGAAGATTCTCTTTCCATCTAAAAGTATGAAAACCCCTGTGGTACAATCTATTCATGCAGAGTGTGCACCTGCTTATGGATTAACTTTACGTTCATGTTCACACTCTTGAAAATGGCACCATCAAGGTTAATCTAATTTATGAACTGTGAAAAGAGATACAGCAGTCAAGGATTCTTTTGATCTCAGAGCACTTTCCCATAAAAGCAAAGCTCTGATTGTTCTTATCTAGACGGTGACGAAATCCCCAGTCTTTCCTGAAGAACTGCATCCGTATTGTAACGGGATTCCATCAATTTTATTGTCTGTTTTTTTCTTTGAGTATTTCACAATATATTGTATTATTTGGCACTTTTTGCAAGGCTTTGTTGTTGATTTTGGATTTGTATTTCCAAACAGTGCTGGAGGTTCTCAAAGCCGACACTTGCAGACCTGAGTGCACACGGGAGTTCTGCAAGGCAAATCCCAATGAAATATGCTCAGCCAGGTAACTTTTGCTTGAAGTCTTGATTTTTGATTCATCTGTTCCAGTGTCTCTGATGAATGACCGGTTCTCGGCTGCAGGTCTGTATCGCTGGAGAAGCGTGAGTGTGGAGGTCACTGCCAGCACACAACCTGCTCCAGCTGCTTGGTTCTCAGACCTCCATCTTGTCCTCAGTCTTGTTCTCCAACAGATCACGTGTGTCTGCATCGCTTCGGCAGGTGTGTGCGAGGACACCTGACCGAAGAAAAACATCCACCCATCTGCCACCAGAACCTACAGGTGAATTTCATTCCTGAGTTATGCTTTATCATTCTTTTTTGACATAAATATGAAATATATTTCTGCTTATTTCTGTGTTGGTTACAATATGGTTTCTTTTGATTACAACAAAATGCTTTGATTGAACTGTACTTTGAGCCCATAGTACTGATAAATTCACTTAAATTTGAAACTTGCGCATCGTGTGTGTGTGTGTGTGTGTGTGTGTGTGTGCGAGCGAGAGAGGGAGAGAGAGAGAGAGAGCGCGAGGGAGAGAACACCGTAAACATGTTCCAACTCCTGTCGGGCCTGTTACTGAATAACAATGCGTTTATGAACCTGCAATTAGACATCCATCCATGAGCCAGAACAAAGCCCAGATCCATAACAGATCAACCTGTCCACAATTCTCATATGAAACTGCATAAAGGAAGGAAATGGTTCATTCTGATAACGCATTAAATACGGTTTATAATATGCTTTCAAACATGTAACAAAAATGCACTTTATTAATTTTTTAATATTGAATAACTTTTTCTTAATTATACCAACAGTGATTTAAATATATGCATTAATGCATTTAACTTTATGCATGAAAGTAAGTTATTATATGGCCACCACTAAATTCAAAATGTAAAAAACGTATTTAAAAATAGAGCTAATCAAGTGCACACAAACGAGTCTCAGCTTCTCAAGATGAAAAACACACCGCTTTTGTTATCAGTCACATATTACTGCTTTTGTTTTCGACTGATAAAAACAATGGCCAGACAAAACGTTCAGCGTGCCAAGAGCCATAAACTTAAACAACAGCCAATATGTCACTCTTAAGTGACATATTGCCTTAAGTGACATTTTCTGCCTTAAGAAACACAATGTAACATTGCTGCATTTATTTATTTCAATAATTTCACAATTCAAATCCTCTGGATTATTCAAGTTAGAGACATTTATGCAATATCAAGACTAATTTTCATTACCGTTTTAAAGATACTGACCACCATAGCATGGGTCTTCTGCATAGTTGACTTGATCTAGACACAGTACGGTAGTCTAAGAACATGTGAACTTCTATATTTGCCCCCAAACTGAAAAATATCCAATACAAAAGCACACAGATCTCCCTACATGATTATTTTTAATATAAGCAGCAATTTTGCCAATGTCTAGGTTGAAAAGGCAGGTTAAGACAGCGCTTTGTCTTCATCATTTGGTAGCTAATGTAGTGATCCCATCATTCAAAAAGTAAAAACAGGCTACATGCTATCATGTAACATTCTTGGTGCTCGGCAGCATCTGCACATGAGCAAAATGCTAACATTAGTGCTCATACTGCAGCTTTACCTCTGACAGATGCACAGTGTTTATGCAAATCCAAGTAATGTAAATAAAACAGCGTGTAAAAATCAAGGAATGTCATGTTGAGCCCGAAGAAAATCGTTCCTGAGTATATTTTTTTCCCTTTTTCATGATAGTCTTTGTGAGTAAAAGGCACTTTGGACGTGAGAGTTTATGTGATGTGTGCGGTCAGGGTCACCGGAACATTCTGTGCCAGAATGACTGAAAAGCAGACGAGTTGAAGGCACCGATGAATATGAGGAGCAGGAGATACAGGCCCATCATGATGGCAAAATGATGTCTGACGAGCCACGATGTCCCTTGAGCATGTCTGGAATCAGAACAGAACATCATTTTATACAGCAAGTTAGAAAAACATAGAAAAACATGAAAATTCTGCCTCAGGCTATCCAAGATGTATATGAGTTTGTTTCTTCATGGGAACAGATTTGGAGAAATGTTGCATTACATCACTTGCTCACCAGTAGATGCTCTGCAGTGAATGGGTGCCGTCAGAATGAGAGTCCAAACAGCTGATAAAAACATCACAATAATCCACAATTAATCCACACCACTCCAGTCCATCACCTAACGTCTTGTGAAATGAAAAGCTCGCGTTTCTAATCCATCAAGACGTTTTTAACTTAAAACCGTTTCTTCCGGCTAAAATACGAGTCCATAATCCATAATAACGCTTCCTCCAGTGGAAAAAGTCCATCCCGTTGTCCTCTCAACATGAAAATCTACCAACATATTTGTTTAGACGTGCTTTGGACTGTTTTGGCTCATAAACGTGCTTGATCTGCGCATATTTCTCTCCTGATTCAGTAGAGACAACTTTTTCACTGGAGAAAGCAGTAATACGGTCAGAGTACTTTGTATTCTAGCCAGAAGCAACGGTGTGCAGTTAAAAATGCCTTAATGATGGATTTGTTTCTTACAAACATGCAGCTGTTCACTTCACAAGACATTAATTGATGGACTGGAGTGGTGTGGATTATTGTGATGTTTTTATCAGCTGTTTGGACTCTCATTCTGACGGCACCCATTCACTGCAGAGGATCCACTGGTGAGCAAGTGATGTAATGCAACATTTATCCAAATCTGTTCAGACAAAGAAACAAATTCATCTACATCTTGGATTGCCAGAGGGTGTGTACATTTTAAGCAAATTTTCATTTTTGGATGAACTATTCCTTTAATGACAATTGGGTCTATCAAGCTTCAAAATGATACAAAATCACCATAAAATTATCCTAAAAGTAGCCCATTTCACTAAAATGCTATATTCCAAGTTTTTTTGAAGTCATATGATAGCTTTGTGTGAGAAATAGATCTTGATATCCATCCACGATTCATTCTTTCGAGTCAGAGCTTTTCAGTGAATCAGTTGATAAAGCTATGCACCCTTTTTAAAGTTTTAGCCTCTTATTCACTGTAACTGTATGGAAAAGTGTGACCGGTACATTACTCAAAACACAGAAAACAGAATGTTGACAGAAAATGTATTCTGAGTGAACTTTTTATTTATTTATTTTTTAAGTGTTTTGAATTATGAAAGTACTACAAAGAAAGTCATGACATCAGTGAAACACAACAATCGGGTGAATAAGGATGCCGGCGTAACTCCGGTCTCACCGTGATCGGTAGCGTCTCTGAGAATACACCAGCAGGTACTTCACTCTCAGAAGCTCGTTGTTGGTCACCACAAAGTATTTCTCGGGCACCTCACCACCTTCACTGTTCCTGGCCTTCAGACGCTTACGGTCAATGCTCTCGGAGTCTGAAACACACATAACAAGAGATGAATTTAGATGTCTGCTGGGATGGGATCTTACTGGATGGTAATTTTACACAAAATTGGAATAAAAATCAAATCAATGTTTGATTGTTTTTATTTTGTTGAAAATGACGTAGCGTATTACTGTTGGAAAGATTGTTGCACACTGTTTCACATATGAAAAAAATACAGTAGGGGAGAGTGGGCTAAGATGTGCCATCCCCTTATTCTAGCAAACTATGCATAATTGGTCACAGAGCCATATATTTAGAAAGGGACAATCTGACAGAGGTGCCTTTTTATTTATTAAATAATGTTTTATTTTTCATTTATTTAGGAAAGAAAGCATCGGCCATAAAAAAAGAGACTGGCTTGTCAGTATCAACCAGAATTTTAATTTACCATGCATATTAAACATTTTTTCTGGCTGGTTTATGAAAATCTGATATGTAATAGTAAAAAAAGAAGACTTATCTCATTTTCTTTTATTTATTGTCGTGTTATTTGTAAATGGGAATGGCTCACAGATCTGAAAATGCTGATCAACAATGAACACATCAACAGCTTAAACATTTACACTACCTTTTTTTTTTTTTTTTGAAAGAAATTAACACTTTCACTAAGCAAGGATGCATTAAACTGATCAAAAGTGACAGTAAAGACATATATGATGTTACAAAAGATTTCAGATACATTTTAATAAATGCTGCTAAACTTTCTATTCAAACAATCCTGAAAAAAAAAACGTATCAGTTTTCACAAAAATATGAAGCAGCACAAGTGTTTTCAACATTGATAATAATAAATGTTTCTAGAGCAGCAGATCTGCATATTAGAATCAGCATATGACACCGAAGACTGGAGTAATGATGCTGAAAATTCAGCTATGCATCAAAAGAATAAACTACACTTTAACTGATATTCAAATAGAAAACAAGTTATTTTAAATTGCAATAATATTTCACAATATTACTGTTTTTACCATATTTTTAGAGCATAAGAGACTTCTTTTAATAATCACAACTTTTGACCGTTATTGTATACAGCTGGTCACCTGACACATTACCTTTCTTCTTCACCTGACACTTCACATCAGGATGATCGATGATTTCACACAAGGCAACACAGCTGATCAAAGGCCCAAGAACGCTTTCCCTCCATCCGTTACCGTGGGGACTGTAAAGGATGGCCATGCTGAGGTCACTGGTCAGGTATGTGCCCTCCCCAAACAGTGAGGTCTGAAATCTCAAATCATAACCAAAGATAAGTGGCTTACATCATTTTTAATTACAGTGTAACTGCTGAACCAACAAGCAGATAACACTGGAGTTATAATGATCATTTTCACACATATCATCTAAACATGAACTGATAAGGGAGAGTCAAACACGTCTGTCAGACACGCTTATTTGCAGTCCTCTATAACAATCAAAAAGCCTGCCTGGAGAACATCATCCACCAGCACAGCACGTCCTGACCTTATTGAGATGGCAGTGTAATCCGTTGTGTATGATGGAGTGGAAGTTCTCCAGTCTGCTGCCGTGGAATGCATAGATGAGCTCTCGTCCGGCCCGCGTCCGCTCGAACTTGGAGTTGAGCAAATCACAGTACTGCAGTTCAAAGAGGAAGTCTGGAGCTGGAGCCGAAATGCCCTCACTCTGAGTCAGCTGGCTGAGTCTGGCAAACTAATGGAGGGAGATTGAACACACGTGAACTAAGAGACATCCAAAATTAAATAGACTGTGGGTTGTCTGAATGACTAGTCCAGAATACCAAAACCAAATGATTTATATGGTATTCTGTTCTATTAACATTCTGTTTTTAAGTTATTCTGCCAATGCAATGAAATATCACACTTAAATGAATCGTATAAGTCTTATTAGTGAATCAATCAAACAATGTAATCCGATTCCTGAACAAACTCCTGAATCCTATGAGCTGGTTCTTTTTAGTGAATCAGAAACATTGAGTGCTACCAGTGTAGTCCAAACTAATGACTCGTATGAACTGGTTCTGTTTTTAAATGAATCAAATCATACATCGTGACTAGTGCAGTACAGACTAAAGACTCTTTTTAGTGAATCATAAAAATAGAGTGCTTCTAGTATGGATCCATCCCCAAACAAATTATTCTTAGGCTGATTATACATGGGGCAACTTTTTTGAGCAATGTTTCTTGGCCACTTTCTTATTGAGAATGGGTAACAAATTTCTATCTGGATACTTTAGATCGGTCGTGGGCCCTGTGTCTCACCTGGTTGCCCGTTGATGACAACATAGGTCAAAGTTGCCCGGCAACATTGCTCAAAAAGTTGCCCCGTGTATTTTCTTTAAGCATAGTTTGAACTTATGCCTCTTTGAACAGTCTCTCTTTAGTTTTGTTGTAATAAGTGGAATAATTAATTAATTATGGTTCTATATTATTTTTAGTTAAAATCTGAACAGACTGAAATCATTAAATAAAACTGCATTGCTTTCTTTTTTTCCTTTATAACATTTCTTTGTATTACAAGCATTATTTTTATAGAATCATTAAGAGGAATCTGAATCAGATTCATCTGTGAAATGCACAGATCTAAATGAAGTTTAGCAATACCTCCTCTTTCTGCAGGGTCTTTACAGCAAAACTCTTGGAGGAGAGAACCCAGTGCACAAGAGCCAGATGATGATCTCCATCACCGTGTCCCAGACGCACCAGATCTCTCACGTTTGGCAAAGTATCCACATCCTTTTGCTGTGAGGAACACAGTAGAATCAAAACTATAAAGGATGTCTGTTTTGGAAGGCTAACAACATGGAGAGCTCTATTTCTGCAAACGTCTTACCAGCTCCTCAAAGTCCTTGACCTCTCCTCTAAGGTAGCGAGGAGGGAAGGGTCTGAGCGCTGAATCGCGTTTGTAGCTCTGGACGGCGGCTACGAAGAGGCTACAGCGCAGATCTGCCGCTACAGGGTCTCGATGCAGACAGGAGCAAACCAGCTCTCTGACCGCAGCTGTCGGGAGAGGCGGCTGCATTCCCAACACTAAAACAAACACAACAGATATATCATAAATAATAGACAATAAGAAACGATTTTCAATAATGCAAAATATGTAGATTGTGAGTCAAGTAGTATAAATATATATGTATCATTATTACATTTACATTACATTTTACTATATATAGTGAGATTATAATACTATATATTATCATTACGACATATGTATTTATAAATCCAATACAATATTACAATATTTCCATTAAATTAGTTTGTTTACTTACCATCTTCTTGTTAACTTTAAAAATTAAGTTAAATAATTCATATAATATATAATACATTTATTATTTCTAAAATTTTATATAATTTATAATATATTAAAGCTAGATTTACAATAATAAACCAGACACAATTGCCTTAAGTAAACAAAGGACAAAGGATCTAAGGACTTTTTTATTTAAAAGATTTAAGTGACTAAAGATTTAAATGAAGGCATGATTAAGGATGTTAAAAGTTTATTTTTTGTGAACTTTGACGCATGATTTCAGTAGATGTACGTAAACTCATGTAAAACATTTAATAGCCTGTTTTCAGTGAGACTGATAGCTTGCTGCAGATTAGCTGCTAACAAGGTTAATATCAGCTAGCGAAACCCAACCCGTAATATAAACTCATTCATAATTTGCTCCAAGTCTTCTAAGGCTCCAATATTTGACTGTTTTAATGCAATAAGTTCATTCGTTTAACAGTCGGTTTGTTCAGCTCTGCTAAGTTTGTTTACATGTTAAGCATGTTAGCTGGTTAGCTCAGCTAAGTTACCGTCTCACTGAAGAAACTCACTCAAGCTTCAGCACACAAACGATTTGAAAGCAGAGTACTCATCACTCTACTTGACATTACATTAAATATTATCAAATATTTGGCAAGCATTTATGTATTTTACCTCAGGCATCTGACAGCCACCGGAAGCTAAACGTGTCCAGCTGCTGCTGCGCATGCGCCTGATAGCACCAGCAGAGGACGCCATACACTGAATGCTGAACTATGCAAAAGCGGGGCAGTGATTCGTGAAGGACCAAATATATTCTGTTTTTTTTTTTTTGTGATGCCACAGCCTTCCTAAATATAAATATAGTCAAAGAATATTTAATGTAATTTCTATGTGAAAATGATTAACACATGTATTGTCTTATTACTTTATCTGAATCGATCTACCTGTCTGTCTTTTTCTTTTGCTATCAAGAAAGTGATACCTGAGATGATGGGAGAAGCATTTTAGGTCAAGCGTTGTGTTACCAGAAGTGGCTGAGTGCTGTTGTTCTCCTTTCGCTGTAAAGTTACAGAGCACTTAATATTATTGCCAGAAGAATTTTAGAGACCAATTATGTATGAAAAAAATCAGGTCAGTGTTTTGCTGAGGCATAGGCTTCAGAAAAAAGGCAGAAGAATATATATATGTATTAGAAACACTGTCACTAGTGATCTTTTGGTAATAACATTCTGTACATATAAAAGGTGATAAATGTATTATATATATATATATA